ACAATTTAAAACTATGATATGGCAGTAAGTTCAGAATGGTTGTTAGCATGTTATGGTCTCTCCTCTTCCCCATAAATTCCTAAGTCCCCTTTCCCTTTCCTTATGTTAAAAAATCAAAATAAAAAAAAGATAGGCTATTAGCCTATTAAATATCCTGGCCTCAATTTTGGCCTGTGAGAAATTTGCATTTTTGGCAAATTTCAGGCATGGACCCTTGACCCCTGAATTGATTTATGTATCTTTGATTTACAAGAATAAGTAAAGAGCTACCAGTAATCCTGGAGCTGACTGCTTATTTTTAGCCCAGTAACGAGTGACAAGCCCATGGCAATTTGTTCCCTGCTAATAGATGCATTGAGTAGTTTCAGTTTCTGTGTGCTTACAGGAGATCCTTTTTCATTCTGCATCAAGCCCAGTCAATCATCTTATGCCCTCCTCGGGGAATGGAGATATAGCACTTTGACTGCTGAGTCACATAACAAGCTTATCACTATTTCCTTAAGAACCCAAGATTATTTTCGCAGACATTATCGTTCTCAGTTCTGGGTGAGGGGATCTGCTCTAAGTGTTTCACAACATTCTTCTCTAAGCACCACTGACTTGAGGGCCATTTACAGTTCTCAAGTCATGACAGGTTTTGACATCAGTGTTTTTTTGCTAACACAGTGACAAGATAACAATAACAATCTTAAAACTGCCCAGCAGGAAGGGACCCTATAGATCTTCAAATCCAACCCCTCTGTCAAAGAGGCACCGTGTGGAATCTAATTCCCAATTTCTTACTGCACGGCCAGATACCTAAGCCACTGAGCTATCTGAGACTTCTTTGCATAATGGAGAAATGTATCATATTCCCTTTCCTGACTTCTGTTAATGAGATAGTGTACATGCAGTTCACATAACTGTTGTGTTGCTTGGGCCATAATACGGCAATGGATGGATAAGTCATTTGTGGTTCCAAGAAAGGATCAGGAAGAAAACATAAGTGAAAGAACATACTTTGAACACTTTTACATTCACAATTGTCCTATAGTCTCTGGGCTAATTATTGCATCAAAGAGAAATTCTAACTGCTTCACATGTTAAAAAAATACACAAAGAAAAGAACTTAACTCACTTCCTTAACTTCTGTGTCAGTAAATTAGGTTCAGAAGAAGACAGCAGCAAGGATTTCATGGCCAGTGTGGCTAACATACAGTATGATTCAAAACAGAAAGCTGGAGGAGGGAGTTTGGGCTTTTAGAATTACGGTGGTGCCTTGCTTTATGATTGCCCAGCATTACAACAAATCCGCTTTACGGTGATCTCTTTGCGATCGCAATTGGTCTAAATGGGGGAATTTCGCTTTGCGATGATCGGTTCCCTGCTTCGGGAACTGATTCTTTGCAAAACAATGTTTTTCTACAGCTGATCGGCGGTTTCAAAATGGCCACCGGGTAATTAAAATGGCTCCCCGCTGTGTTTAGGGACGGATTTCTCACTATACAGGCCGTGAAAATGGCCGCCGTATGGAGGATATTCGCAGGACCCCATTGGACCCCATTGGAATGTATTGAACGGGTTTCAATGCATTTCAATGGTTTTTTTATTTTGCTTTACGATGTTTGTGCTTAACAGCGATTTTCCTGGAATGGATTATCGTCGTTAAGCGAGGCACCACTGTACATCATCTACAAGGTAAATGTAACTGCATTTGATGAGGACTGTTTTAGGGTGCTATTGGTTTGAGCTGAGGTAGAGAAAAAAGATGGTGACAACCATGAAGAATGTGATTGATGTGCAGAAAAATGTTGATCGAACACCAGAATAAAAGATCAGTATCTGTGAAAAATAATCATGGTGTTGGACTAACCTTTGTGAATAAATACAAATTAGTTCTTACTTGAAGAACCTTCTATAGTTTTGCAAGACCTTTACTAAAGTAACATACCTGAATAAGTGGATGGAAAATGATCACCAGCAAGACCAAGTTGACGAAATGTTGAGTAGACACTACTTGATTTCAGTAGGACTTACCTCAGGTATGTGTGATTTAAATTCTGTAGCAAAAAATGTGGGAAAATGTGAAGGCAAGAGGAGGGGAATGACAGAGGATGAGATGGTTGGACAGTGTCACTGAAGCTATCAACATGAATTTGACCAAACTCTGGGAGGCAGTGGAAGACAGGAGGTCCATGGGGTCATGAAGACATGACTTAACAACTAAACAACAACAACAAACAAACAAAAAATAGGGTGGTGGTGCTTGATGCACATTTAAGACTAGCAGATTTACTTTATCATGGGCTTCTGTAGGGTAGAAGCCACTTGGACTATAATATAAAGACCATAAGTTTAAGACTGAGTTGTAAGATTTCCAAATAAAAATGTCTGTATCCCAAAGTGTTTTTTTTTGGGGGGGGGGAATGCTTTTCCACAAGAAGAACAAATTCTCCAAGTCTTTCACTTTCTCCTGTAATCTCCTCAGAAAAATAAACTGTCATTTTCTTGTTAGTCTGCAAAACATCAGGCACATCAGTAGCACTATATGAGTAATCTATAATAGTTACAGCCTGATAACATTGTAATTCACGAAGCCACAAAGGTTGGACAGACTGCACACAAAAGGAGTGAGGAGAAGAGGACCTGAGCCCAGAATATGCTTGTGGATATGAGCTCACCTTTACAGATGATATCCCCACCTTGGGGATAAAGGCTCATTTAGTGGTCTCGTGCTAACCAATGATCTCTGTGATGTAACATAGAGGGGGAGATTTTAGGCAGAGTCTAAAGAAAAGAAAGTATTCAACCCTCTGGTGAATAAAGTTTTAGTATTCAGGATCACAGTGGTGGATCAGTATTCCCTTACACAAATAATACCTTTATACTCCCATGATGACAATTTAAAGAGGGAAAAGGAAAAGAGAATACCAGTTTAATACTTTCAAGACAGAACAGATTTATTTTAGTGTGAGCTTTTATGGACTAAATTTAATTTCCTCAAACAAATGGATTTTGATTCAAGAAAGCTCACACAAAAATTACTTAATAAAATTCCACAATGTTGTGCTTCCCCCCCCACACAAACACACCCTGTTCTAGGCGTTGTGCATCCAATTGCATCTAGTTATTTTCTAACAGGTGTAATAATTCTTTCAACCACCCACCAATTAATTGTTCCCAAGTGGAAAATAAATTGGATAAAATTAGATACAAGCCATGTCTGGGATTCTTGGCCACACCAGAGAAATTGTTGGAAACACAATCTGAGGTTTATCATGGCACTCTAACAAAGAAAATAGTTTCACTCATACAGTGATAAATAAAGCCAGTGTTATCTTGAAATTCATCTTGCTAGAGGAAAAGTAGTAGTGTCTAGTAACAGATCTGTATTGAAATAATCATCAATGCAGCTTTTGTAGGAATATCATTGGCATGCCTGTGTGTGGATCTGCCACTGCCCAGATGTTTATGAAAATAAGGACAACCCATTCAATGTTATTTTATGACTCACACAACCCATTTGCTCCAGAAGGAGGAGGAGGAAGGCGATGACAGGGCTGGAGAGGAGCAGGAGCGGTACACATGCAAAAGGAAGGGCTGAGGAGAAGGTTGTGATGGCGGGAGGGGGGGAAGAGCCTGTGCGAACGAAGCCCGAGGTCTCCCGCCTTGTGAGTTCAGTCTCCTCCCACTTCCCAGCGCCGTTACCACTTCTGCAGTGATTTTTCATCTCCATCTAGCTGCGGGTCTTGGGCACTGCTTGGCTCGAGGGGGCTGATGCTGGGGAGGAAGGTTGCTACCCTCACGACCAGTCCACCCGTCCACTCCACACTGCCCTCAGAGGGTGCTCTTCGGTGAGGGTGGAAATAGCTGGGATGGGAGACTCTGCCCAGCTCCTTCATCACCAGCATGGCTGGAGGCAGGCTCAATGCTCGGGAGGCAGAGCATGGCTGAGTGCTCCAGCTGCTCCCCTACCAGCAGGCTCCAACAAGACCAGGGTTGGCGCTCCTCGCTGCCCTCAGCAGGCCAATGCCGCCGCTGGTGCCTCCAGCTCCGGAAGCGGCACCAGCGGCGGCATTTGAATTTCCCGCGGAGGGTGGTGAGGAGCGCCGACCTGGCCTCA